TCTTCTGGCAGCCCCCTCCCCTGGCGAGTCTAGTTTAAAGCTCTCTGGTTCTAGATTATACCTTCTCAATGATGACTTTGTCCATCCCCACTTTCTAGTTAAACAGGTTTTGGCAAATTCCTCATGAGATATAGGGGAAATAATGCTCTTGTTTCATTCATTGACCATCACTATGTCACACATGCAACCAGGTACTCACTGAGGTCTAGGGCACCCATTTCTCCTTACACACAGATGGGGATAGATTTTCCAGAAGAGATAGGGTCGCAACATTCCTATTTTGTTTAATGCAATGATTACAGCTACAATATCCAGATACAATATCCTGGAGACTCAGCTCCAGCCTTTTGTGGACCTTAAAGATGCTTCCTCATGCACTTTGTAAAGTCTGTAATTGTATTTAAAATTTAGTTGGTCCTGAATGAGAAATTAGGCTATTACTGTAGTAACTCACATAGCACATTTACCTTTCCCCCAGAAATCATCTCTCCAAAAGTTGTGAGCATGCCTCAACTGGGGAAGCTGATTTTCTGTCCAGAATAGAAACACCCCACTTTGATTTCTGCTTCAGCTTTGATTCCTCCTCACAGCAGCAGTGGCATTTTTATTCAGGCAGCTCATAAAAGCTGCCTTTTGAACACTGGTTTTTAAATATTTAACTGTGGAAGTTTCACAAACTCAGTGTTGCTAAATTTTACAGGCATTGAAAGAAAAATGAATTTTTCCTGACTTTTGGGGAGCAAAATTAGTTCCACACTCCACCTGAGGATTAATGTCTTGCATTTCAAAACTTGTCTAACTCTATCCCAACTATACAGTTGTCCAAAAAAGATATCACCCTAAGAAATCCTTGCCTCTAACATAATTTCTGGACCATCATGGCTACAATATCACCCTTACACTTCCACAGTCATTGTACTTTTGAAAAATCCCTTAGTTACCATCTAGATTTCTTCTTAGAAGCTTTTAGACAAACATGAGTTTTTCTTATTTGATCATTTCTGTTTCTTACACAGTAAGGCTCTACATACTTACTTGGCAGTGCTCATTTGCAAATAAGTTGTCATACAAGATTCACGTCATTGTGGAACTGTAAAGAAAAATGGATTCCAATGTAGTGCAATATTTTGTTAGTCCATGGTACTTGCATCATTCATACAGCAAAAAACAAGTTATATACAAGCCATATAATGAAGATTGCTTGTATAATTGTAGTAAATCTCTGAGCAGTAAGAATATACGTAAAACATTGACTGGAATATAATATATAGCATGCTATCTACTGGTTGAATGAGACCTATTCTAAATTTTAATAATTGTTTTTGTCTTTTAAGCCCTGCTTTTATATATTTACAAAGCAAACCAAAGTATGTGAAACAGCAAAATAGAGTTTGGATGCAAGTAATAGCAAACATCTTGTGTCTAAAAGTTGTAAATCATTTTTAAGTCATTTGAAATGATGTTTTAACCCCCTCAGTTGTCTCCCACAAAATTGAACTATTTTATGAGGAATTATAATATATAAAATATGCTTATGTTTATACAAACTGTTTTGGCTCAGTGCCACTAGATGTCAGTATTCATTAAACATGATAACTGATAGAATTTAAAAATGTTGTATAATAGACAAGGAAATAATCATTTACATATTTAAAACAAGTTACACCAAACATTATCCAGTAAATATCATGTCTTTACAAATTATCTTTCATAATAATCTCTGTTTAGTTGTTATAAAGACCACAGATTTTTTTTATATATAAAAAAAAATTTGTTTCTTCTTTGGTTTTAATTGGCTTAGATGAGAGTGGTACTTTCATCAGGGAAAAAAAAGATTATAAAATGACATGGTATACATGAAATAATTTTGTACCTGCTGTGGGATTATTTCATGTTTAAACATGCTTCCTTCACTCTGTTGGTTGCTTCTTGTCACTGAAGTCTCTCTTATCCTCCATTCAGAGTCTGGCATTGGATTTTTCTATGTGTTTTTTATGTGTTCAAAATAAGCATAGCCTTCACAGTGCAGTATTTTTGTATTATATTTGCATTACTGGTGGGTGATTTGTCTGGGAAAAAATCTTCTATTTATGTGCTAAGAAGAAATTATCATGTTTTACTTGAGGCATAGTTTAGTGGGACTAGCTAACCCTCTCCCACATTCCATCAAAGGGAATGTGAAAGCCTATAGGAGCCCTGATTTGCATCCTATTTGGCATAATGATTTTTAAAAATGAATGAATATGAAAAAAATAATTACCCATGACTAGCTAATACATATACTTTCAATGTTAATGTTATAGTTATAAACTGGAAGTTTATTGTTCCATCAGTTCCTAAGCCTGTGCTTGGAATGTTGCCTTGTGGGGTTTGGCTGGGGCTAATAATCCATTAAATTGAAGCTTAGGTGGACATTGAGTTCTTTTTTTGATTGTAGGTCTGATCAACATTCCCGCAGTGGCCTTTGGAATATTTTCTGGAGGACTGATCATGAAGAAGTTCAGGATTAATGTTGTAGGGGCAGCAAAGCTCTCCTTGGGATCATCCTTCTTTGGTTATCTATTGCTCTTTACCTTGTTTGCAATGGGCTGTGAGAACTCAGATGTGGCAGGATTGACTGTGTCTTATGAAGGGTACGTTGAAAGTTGTAAATTTTTGTTCTAAAGCAAGCTACCTTCTCACTACATTTCCCATAGTGAAAATCTTCCTGAAATTGGATCACTTGAATTAAGCTGTCAGGCATTAGTGAGTCTTATTACAGACCCTGATTTGAAAACTGCTTAGGAGAAACATTTCATTTTGTTTCATTTTGTTACTGTTTCCCTTCCTCAGAATCAAACAGGTCTCTCATTATGAACAAGCCCTCTTTTCAGAATGCAACTCTGGTTGCATATGTTCAGAAAATGAATGGGATCCTATATGTGGGGAAAATGGAATCACATATGTGTCAGCTTGTCTAGCTGGTTGTAAGACATCAAATGGCAGCGGGAAAAATGCTGTAAGTAACTTTTCTGCTTCCATGTATGCTATAGTTTTCTTAGGCCTCTGGCAAATGTTCAGCAATGGTGTGATCGGGATGAGAGGAATTTTATACCACATCCCATGACATGCATGGCAGGAGGCACCATGTTTGGGATGGGGCATAAAATTCCTGTGATCCCAATCATGCCACTGTTGAGCTCCACCCAGCCCATTGCCACAGATTGGCTCTGTCCTAAACAGCAAGTTCCAGACCAGGTCTGGGGCCAGGTTTGACTATCAGGTGATTGTTGGCCCAGTCCTGGGACAGCCCAGCTGCACATGTGACATTTAGATGTCCAGGAGCACTGGGATGTTGGGATCTAGAAGCTTCAAAAAGTGTGAGGTGGGGGCTATAGGACAAGGCAGGAAAAGGTGCTGAGCTCAGGGGTTGCCAGGTGCCCAATGGCTGGAGCCCCTCTGCTCTCCTACCAGAGAACCTTGCAACACACTCTCCCAATACCTGGTTTCTGGTTTGGGAAGCAGGGCTGTCCTGGTCCTGATGCCAACCCCCATCCCCATGCTGATCAGCTGACTTTCACCACCGGAATGGGGTTCCTATACATCTGATTTATGGCACCATGCAAGTGAGCCCCTGTGATGCTCCACATTTTTTGTGTAATAATGTGCCCAATTTGCCACTTTAGGGTGCCATAAATCAGCTTGAATATGTTACACTGTAACTTGTGCCAGGGGCCCTAGTGTGTTATCTGTGGTTGTAAATGAGTCATGATTCACTGGAGCTCTGTCAGCATATGGAGCCATGAATTTCCTCGATTTTTGTGGCAGTTTTCTGTTTGAAGTGAAACGCTCCAAATTTTCATGTTACAAAGTCCTCAAACCCCACATCTGTTTTTTGGTCAGTTGGTCTGTCTTTTTGGCACTAAAACTACTTTGGGTTTGAGGGGTTTTTTGAAAAACCTGAATAGTTCATCAAAAATAGTCAATTTATTTCCGGGATGTATTTGGTAGCCATGTTGGTCTCAGACGAAAAGAAATGCAAAACTCTAGAACTCTTGGTTCAGAGATGATACCTTTTATTAGACCAACCAAGAAATTGCAAAAAAATCTTTTTTTTGTCAATTTCTTTCAAGTTTTTTATTTCAGTGAAAAATATTTTTTCTACTGAACTAGCATTTTACTAGCAATGTTTTGACCAACCCTAATCTTGAAATACACAGAGCCTTTGCCTATTGAAGGGTGTGGAAAAAATGGAGTATACAAATGCATTTTAGGCAGTTATTTTTCTCTTCTTCCTCTGTTATGGCCCACTTGTTTCAATTAACTTATACCGCTGCCTGTTATATTCCAGATGTTACGTAACTGCAGCTGTGTGGAAATTATAGAATCTCCATCCAGAAGCTCATCAGCAGTGACAGGGACATGTCAAAAAGGAAGTGAATGTGCAAACATGTTTCTGTATTTTCTGGTAATATCAGTCATCACTTCATATACTTTGTCAATAGGTAGCACACCTGGATACATATTACTCTTAAGGTGAATAGTGCTAATTCCTTTTAATATTGGTAAAGATTTTTAAGGTGTTTTGATATCAATACCCCTTTTTTCTTCTTTTTCTTTCTAGTATTTTCTGTGCTTTTCACTTAATCCTGAAATGATTTAAAAGGTCCTTTTTCACCATAAAAAAGCATCGTAGCACTGCAGACAGCAATGAAAAGCTCTCATTCTAAGCATTAGTATGTGCCTGATTAAAAGAAGCAAATCGCACCACATCTGTATTTATCATTCTATATATATGTTCCCTGTTACAAAAAATACTGTGGAGCTGATTGTCTTTTATACCAATGCCACTTCAGGATGGTCTACCTGTGGTAAATTATATTCACTTTAAGTGTCATTTGTATGGCTAGAATTATATAAAGTTGTCTTGCTGTGAATGAAAATCAAATGCTTAGTGCATGGATTTAGCTAGATTTTCATACACGAAAACCACAATTGCTGCTGATATCAATATATATATGTCCCCAGAGACAGTCTAGCGCAACAGCTGTATAGTCACTCTCATTCTCCCATTTGATCCTTGACAATTAGATCATTTCATATTACCCAGGAAAAAATGATGTAACAAATAGTATCAATAGCTTCTTTCTACAAAGTCTTTCCTACCCAGTGATCCTAGATCATATGCTAGAGCAGCCCAGCCCTGCCCCCTCCCTTTGGCCAGCTATTGGCCACAACCTAGGCAGGGGGAGGGGAAAGGGGAATCTCTCTCCTCCCACAGCCAGCCTATCCCTGTGGTGTGCCACTGCCTGGCTTGCAGGGGAAAGGGGTCTGGGCTCCGTGTCGCTGTGCTACTGCATGGCCAGAAGGCTGCAGGGGAAAGTGTCCAGTGTCTCTGTCCACTCCACCCCCACCAGCTGGTGCTGACAGTTGCCAGCTGCTGGGGAGTGGAGGGGGTGGGTCAAGGGAGAGGGGCCACTCCATCAGCTTCCTGGGAGGTCTGCAGCAGCAGCCAGTGTGGATAGGCTCTGAGCCTCCCCCACTCCCCCACACTGAACAGCAGACATCTGTTTGGTTTGCTCACATTCCAACTTATAGCGCTTTAAGTAAAGTGTGACAGAGCCAGGGGCTTTTTGAATGTCTGTTCTTGGCCTCAGTGATTGGTTTCCCCAGAGAATCTTGCTGAACAAAAATGTGCCACTATTTGCAGAATGCACACATTAGAAACAAATGCTACCACTATGAATTCACAGCTTTTGTTTAAGTAACTGTTTGCCAAGTTCTCCTCTCCCTGCGTTCTGCCCCCTCCCCGCCTCACCCCACTCTTCAGCTAACTCTAATACTAAGGCTAGTACTTGGTGAAAACTGATATTTTCAGAGGAGTATACATGTGAAATGCGAGCTCCAAATATGGCACATGAGTACAGAAGCCAAATCCCTGCAGACCTGTAAAATTTAGTGACATTTGCTTCAAGCGTTTACAAGATTAAAATCAATAAAATATGCTTATACCTAGTAACTGGCTCATTTCTTTAAATGTTCCTGTAATGGTATTAGGCTAATTGAAATTGCCAAGGTACTTCAGAAACTATTGAAGCTAGAAGAAATTATTGAAATGCAGATGATTGTTAGCTGAAAGAGCATAGTATTAATAGAGGGCTATTATGGAGAAGGGTTACCTACATCCATCCTAAATACACGGACTTCCAGTGCATAGAAAATATGGCTGCTGTTGAGGATTTAATATACCAACTAAACACTTTGACATTTTCAGTACAATGTGAGAAGCTGCTTAAAATAAAGGAGAAATAAAATTTCAGAGGAGGAGATTTTAGATATTAATTTTTTTTCTTGTCTTCTTCCCTCCCTACTTCTTCCTTTATATTTCATCTTGATTTTGTTCTGTTTCATTTTTGGAACTCCTTTCTCGAACACAAATGTATCAACTTTTTGCAAAGGCCCTGAATCTGTTGCCTGCATGTCTTCTAGTCATTTCCATCAGTGCAAACAACAGCTTTTTGGCTTTGGAGACTTCTCTGTCATATGTTTAGTGCACATCTCTCTCATCCTTTTGCATTCAGTCATCTTGTCCAACTCAGGGCACAAATGCAGACTTTGCTGTTCCTAGCATCTATCTGGCATGGTTTTGGAATAGTGAATCCTACATCTGTGCCCTGTGCCATAACTCCGATTCGATGTTCATTAAATAAATGGAGGGCAGTGTGCTTACCTTTCATGTGGATTAAGCTATTTGATGGAACAGGGCCAGACTGCTCTGTGAATCTGTCTTCACCACAACAGTTAATCTGAGTTCTGCTACTTCCACTATGGCCCTTGAGCTAGTCTAGCTCAAGTGAGATTGTCCACACCAGGAAATGATGCTTGAGCTCCACAGAGCAACTGGATCGTGAAAATGACTAGATCTGCAACTGATGAATATTGCTAACTTATCTAGAGTTAAAGATTCTCATGTATGAATACGAATTGGATTAGTGAGGGGTTATACTTTGAGTTAATAGTGCAGTATAAGTAGTCCAAACACTGCTGATATGCTATGTAAGGTCATAATTCTACCGTCTGCTGCCTTGGATTTTGTAAATCCAAGTGCTTACCATTTACTTGGATAGGAAACTTGCCCAGAACCTTAAAGTCAGACCAGTTGGAGTTAGGCACTTACATACCTTAAGGCTCTGGAGAGATTTTGGCACCTAATTAGAAGGCAAAAGTCCTTAGGCCTGATTTCCATTTTGTTGCATAATTTTCATGTGCGTATAGTTCTACTAATTCCCATGGAACTGCACCATAGTAAATTAGTAAAACAAGGCAGAGAATTGAGCCTCCTGAGTTGTAATTAGCTATTTGTAATTTATTTCTTAGACAGTTTAACAATTATTTCTATGTTTTTAGATGCATTAATCCACAACTCAAATCTTTTGCACTTGGAATTTATACCTTGGCAATAAGAGTTCTCGGTAAGTTTGGTTCAAAATTTCATTTTACTAAGGTATGTATTTGTACTGTCTTCATTAACTGTTTATCTCAGCAGTGACCTACAAGTTTGTATAGAATTTTGAGTGCCAAGCAAATATGTGGTAAAAATATAATAAATATTAGGAATGGGGGAACAGGTAAAGCATTTATATTTCATAAAGGCTACATGAAGTTTCCAGTTATATAAAATTTTAGGAACAAATACAGAGAGGATACACACAAGCAAGGAAACAGCAGTATTATGAAATTTTATAATGATACCTAGAGTCATTGGTGGGTGTTCCATTCATTTAGCATATTTGAGTTTCCTCTCTCATACCTGGGTTGTTTCCAAACCCTATGGAGAATGGGCAGAGTAGGGTGGAGTAGTTAGGCCCTTCACTTTCTACTCATTCTACACTCAGGCATATTTTCATCGACTTTTGTAAGAATTTGTCTGAATACAGATCCAAGGATCCGCAATCACATTCAGAGTTTTTTCACTGATCTCAGTGGGCTTTATGACCTGGTTCTGAATCCTGTAGAAGTGTAAAGTGTTCAAAGCATGCAGGATGTGACTCCTAATCTAATATAAATAATTAAAATATTATGTTATTGTATCATATTGTAGTATGTTGGAAAGCATCTAAAATTAATACTAAGTGTCATATGAAATAACATCATTGATCTTCCTTCTTTTCAAATACCTACAGCAGGCATCCCTGCTCCGGTGTATTTTGGAATGTCAATAGACACCACTTGCCTAAAATGGGGAAGCAAAAGGTGTGGGGGAAGAGGAGCTTGTAGACTCTACGATTCTAACGCATTTAGGTAATAAATTTTGCGAACTCCTCCTTTTAACTCACTTATTTTAATTATATTTAGACTCTTAGGACTAAAGCTGAAAGAACATTTTCTGCTAAAACTTTATTGCTGTGGAAAAGTGTTTAAAATCACAAAACATTATCATGGACGGTGTCTCAAAAGCAAAACCCAGGAAAACTGAGAAAAGAAAAACATTGGCAAAAAATATGAAAGTTTATAGGATTTTGGTACTTGGAGGGTTTTCTGGTTTGGGGTTTTTTTTAATGTGTATGCTTTAGTTTTGGACACGTGTTTTGCAGAGGAGACCACTAGGAATGTTGTCTCTCAGGACATGTGGGGGCAGGGCCCCCCATAGAATCGGGGAGCAAGTTTTATCTCACTGCACTCAGGTTGCTGCTGCTGTTGCAGCTTGGGCTCCTCAGACACAGGCTGACACTGCTGAGAGGTAGCTGCTGTGCCAAGGCTTTGGCTCCCCAGGGTGCCACCATTCTTGTACCCCACTTGTAAGTCACCCCAAGTCTGGCGCTGCACTCACCCACCCCTAGTTACACTATTGGAGGCAAAGACTTAAGAGGTAAGTGCCTATTTTGAGCATTTCTACAGAGAAAGAAAAAAGAGAAAGATAAGTCAACTAGCAGGATTCCTGTTTCATTTTGAGCATACTGATGCACCAGTAACATTGTATCAAAAAGATTAATTAACAAGAATAAGTAATAAACCCTTACATAGCAAAAACACCCTCAAATACCAAACTTGTTGGTATCTCAGGTGAGGCAGCCAAAGAAGGAGAGGAATATTGCAGAGATGTGAACGTTCCTGTTGCTATTAATTAAGATCTCTACTTCCACTGAAGCATACTGGTGACAAGTTTACATTGGTGTAAATGGAAAAATTGGGAATAACAATTTACAAGTCTTAGCACCTTCTGGAGCACCATGTTCACTCTGCTTTACCTCACAGTGTTATAAATTACTCTCTTTTTAGGAGTGCTGTACATTACCTCTAAAGTAGGCTGATCCCATTATTTTTCTATTACAGATATGTGTATCTGGGATTGACTGTGGTTTTGGGCACCATGTCAATTTTCCTGAGCATTGCTGTCCTTTTCATTTTAAAGAAAAGGTTTGTTCTACAAGATGAAAACATTGCAGCCACTGGAGAAAGAGGAACAGTGTTGGCCAGGAACAGCAAAGACAATTTTGTCACTTGTGACCATTTAATTCAGACAGCCTACTGGCCAGACAAAGAAACTCGCCTTTAGAAGGAGGGATATTTTGGAGGGATGTGTTCTACATGTGGAAGTCTAGTGTAGGAGTTCCATGCCAAATGCTCTAGAAGCAAAGTGTCAGATTGGGTACCTACTTAGTATTCATTTTAAAAACGTTCAAATGTATGTAATATTCTCTGTAAATACCAAAAATCTTACAATCTGTATATGTTTGAAAACAGATTAACATTCTAAGATAATAAAAAGCTTAGTACTTCTGTCTGTCTGTCCACAACGCTGGGGGCCAACTGCACGTGTGCTCCAGAGAGGCCTGGCAGCAATTGGCTGCACGGGTCCTGCCCCCTCAGGGAGAGAGCCAGAGGTGGAGGGAGCCCTTAGGCTTATATTATATTGACTTGCCCCTAGTTCCTGTCAAAGCTGACAGGAGGCATGGGCACTAGGAAACAGCGGGAGCCTGAGCAGGATTGAGCAGCCCAACCTACCCAACCCCCTGGCCATTGCAATCCCTGCCTGCTGGCACTGTCGGCACCATGTGTCCTGGCTGCATCGCCAGAGCAGGGAGCATGAAGCCGCCCTGGTAGGGTATGTGTGGTTGTGGGTTTGTGGGTGGGTGTGTGTGCGTGTAGCCAGGGGCACGGTGTGGGGGTGAAACCATGGGAAAAGTGAGTGGGTGGGTATGGTTGTAGAGCCAGGGGCAGAATGGGTGGGTGGATGTAAGTGTGGATCCAGGGGTGGAGTGGGTGGTGAGTGTGCAGCTGGAGACAGAGTGGTTGGGTGGGTGTGGTTTTGGAGCCAGGGGCAGAGTATGTGGGTGGGGGTGGGAGTGCATCCAGGGGAAGAGTGGGTGTGTGGCTGTGCGTGTGCAGCCAGGGGCAGGGTGGGTGGATGGGGTTTTGGAGTAGGAGCAGAGGATTTGGGTGGGTGTGGGTGTGGGTGAGCAACCAGAGGCAGAGTGGGTGGGTGGGATTGGATGTGCAGCCAGGGGTAGACTAGCTGTGTGCGTGTGTGTTTGTGTGTGCAGCCGGGGGCAGAGTGGGTGTGTTGATTTAGTTGTATGGCCAGAGGCAGAGTGCGTGGGTGGGTGTGGTTGTGCAGCCAGGGGCTGGGTGGATGTCAGTGTGGGTGTGGGTGTGCAGCCAGGGGCAGAGTGTTTGGGTGGGTTTGTGTGTGCAGCGTTATGGCAGATTGGCTCTGTGTGTGTCTGTGTGGGTGTGGGTGTGTGGGTGCGCGCGCGTGCGCTTTCCTGCAGAGTGATAGATCACACTGCCAGGGAAAGCACAGCTTTCTTTTTAAAAGTGTGTGTGGGTGGGGGGAAACCAAGAACAAATAAGAGGTTTTGTGGGGAAGAACAAGTTGAAAGAAATGGATTGGATAGAGGTAAGTGGAGGGATTCTAGTTAGTAAGCTGTATCCAATCCTTTCCAA